GAGGAAGGTACTCTACAATTCGAACCCCAGAATCCTTCCATCGACTGTGCTTGAACTGTGCATCGACTTTGCGCGGCTGTGCTCGACTGTGCATTTCCTTGTTCGGAAGATGCTTCTCGTGTTGCACAGTTGGGGTCGCTGTGCATTGACTGTGCAATCATTCCTTGGCCAATGGTTGCCTTCCACCCTCGTTTCAGGGTGCATAACGGCTGGCATGGACTGTGCGCACAGTTCGGGGTCCTTCCGAATGGAATCCTGCTTACCGAAGAAGGCAGCTAGAGACTGTGCATTCCCAGTTAAGGTTCTAGGGTCTCCTACTGCTCATGTTTGGGGGTCACTGTGCATTGATCACAGTACAATTGATGTACTTAAATGGCTACTAGCCCCAGTCGAGGGTTTCTAACTGGGAAAATATGGTATAGTTGCACACTTCCGGGGATATTTGGGGTACTGAGTCTCAAGGCCAAGGCAAGTACATTCATCTCCTATACAATATACTGAATGCAGCTAGACAATTTTCCAAACACAAAGTCCAACACCTATCCGATCACTTGCTACGCTATATGTCTGTCAGAACAATTTAACTGGATTTCTGGGATATTTGGTAGACATACCGATCATCATGTCACTTGGTAAGGGGAGATAATTCTCCAGTATTGCTGAAGACGTAACTGCCGGGGGGCATAGAATACAGTTATCCTGGGTAATTAGCGCCGAAATGTTTTCGTTGCGTGCTTCCGTTATGTCATTGGTCTGCCTGTTTGACTGTACGCGAGTGTCCTCGCAGACAAGTACGGACGCGACCTCAACCAGGCAGGCACATGCTTGAGGTTTGTTAGTTGCAGACTGTGTCTGATAAGCGTGATACGTACTGTATTCCATAGTGCCCAAAAGACGCGCTCGGAACAGAGTCGTGCGGGGATCCGACGACACCAGTTCTGTGAGCACCGCATAGAAGCGATAGCCCGAGGCGAAATGAATGAGTTCAGCGACTGCGCCTGGGCGAACGTCACAGGCTGACAGCATGGGAGTCCATAGGACCGGATAGTTCATGGGAGCTGTCTTGTCGCGGTTGATGTATTGACAGAGGGTGAGCCAGTCAGATGGCTCGTGCGTTTTGCAAGCCCGTTCGTAGTGGGGATAAGCGTTGATCGGATGGAGTAGGTCATAATTGACCCAGACGTTCCCATCGTCGGGTACACACAGAATGGGTGGCTCGTCGCCTGAGTTGTATTGAACGACAGAGTATGCAGGCAACTTAAGCATCTGATACTGCCCCGCAATAAGCAGATGTCCTGGATACAGCCTGCGGTTGGTGTTGGCTGCAAAGCGTAGAGGAGGAAGCAGGCGTAGTGGTAGCGCGTCGATGTTGAATTTGATGAAAAGCTCCCGCCCAGGGTACCGGTCACAGATGTGCAGGCTGAAGTAGTTCTTGTACGAGATATCCTCGACTGTCATGGTAGCGATGAGTGGGGAAACGTATAACGCGTGCGCTCTGTATTGAATCGCCAGACCTTATACCTTTCCCCTACAAATTGAGCTTCTTCAATCACGCTTCTATTATTCTTGATGGTTCTTGATGGCCATTCTAGGCCTACCCCTGGCGACTTCTTTTCCCGTGTTTGTTTGGAATGCATCAATTGGATATGTTTTGTGTAGTAAGCGTGGTAGGGATTCCTTTGGGCACACACTGACCGACCGGGACACGACGAGCGAAGGTATTGAGCATAGGTAAGATGAAGTATACGGGTGGCAGGATTATCAGAGCGGACGATGAACGGGATAGAACGAGCGAGGGCAAATGGGAGTACAAGTGGGTCACAATGCGAACAGATGGGCGTAGGTATCAATAAGTCAGCTAAGCGTATCATGTAAAACCTTGGACAACCCTTCGGCCTACTCTTCCTGCCTTACAGCGCCGAGCGATGCCCTCCACTGGTCGTTGAGATTGTGCGCAGCGCTGCGGCGGGAGAGAATGTGCATGAGGCGTGGAATAGCAGGCCGCTCATATGTCGAATCAGGCCTGGTAGGCGGGCGCGGGCGCGGGCTGGTAATACTGGTACATCTGTTCTTGGGACCGTAAGTTATTGCTGGGCGTACTGAATGACTGACACTTACCGGGATGCTTGCTGACGGAAAACGTACGGGAGGTACAACCATGCCGTCGTTGATTGGCGTATGAAGATCTTGTATAGCCACCGTAAGTCCTGCTGCGACGCCAGGGCTGAAGAGCTTCAGGAGAGGGAAACACTTGAAGGCGGAGAGAAATGACGCCGTGACAAAGTCGTGGTGCGGAAGAGGGATGCTGCGATTACCACCAACGAAGGTGCGGACGCGCTGGGCGGTCTCCTGGGTGTGCTGGACAAGCGCGTACGGACAAGCGAAGTACTCCCATTCTTCATCGGAGAACGACTTAGCGCAGTGGGAGAGCGGTGCCAGGAGGTAGACTGGTAGCGTTAGGCCTCCTGCAAACTCATGCCAGCCATCCGGCGTCTGCCATCCAATCAGCTTCATCCTGAACAGCGCCTCCGTGTTCCCACGGGCTACAAAAGATCCCACCACCGCGTAGCACTCCAGGCCAGGGCAGATGCGATGGGCGACCGTAATGCCGTGATCGATGGGGACCTTGCCGATGTCCGTAAGCATCCAGGTGACGCTCTGGCGATGGCCGTAGTTGTCATGATAGATGGATAAGAAGCGCTCCATGGCCGTTGCGTTGTAAGGAATAGAGCGCGGGAAGTTCAGCCCTGGCGGTACCGACAGTATTGCTGGAGATGGAGTAGGAATACGCGCGGGCTTTGGTGGAAGCGGGTGGCGCAGAGCCGGGGCCGAAGGCGACACCTGTTCAGTGGGCACGGGCGGTTCAGTGGTGACGGGAACCGTAGCTACGCCCATGGTACTTGAGACGCTAGGGCTGAGATGAACGACCCGGGCTGGTACTGGAGAGGGCGCCGAGCTGAGCGAGTTGTAAGAATGAACGGAGGGTGTCCGGGACGGCGAGTAGAGCGTGGAGCAAAGCAAGTGCTCGCCGCTGGTAGAGGAGTCGCTCATGGTTGGGAGGGTAAAGGGGCGGACGCCAACTATCTTGCGACCATGGTACGCACCTATTAACAGGGCGCATCGTGGCATTGCACCCGGACGCTTCTTTAGAGCATCGTCATTGGCTGCTTAATGCCGTGTCATCAAGCCTCTGCGCTTATTAGACTTTCATTCTTTGCTTCTTCCGAGTCAAGACTTCTTGGATGGGAACACCCGCTTCTATTTCGCTTCCGGCCTTCGCCGGGAGTGGCTATCTAGGCTCGCGAACTCTTTCATGAATCACATGTCTCATGGATAGTTATGGAGACCGCTTGCATCTTTACGTTTGCTCCCTATGTTGTCCGATCTTCGTGGGTTCCCCTATACTGCCAGCGGTATGTCTAGAAGGTGAGTGGGAATAGTCTAGTTAGTGTTTGCAGTAGTGACAAAAGTACTTCTCCCTTTGTTGGGAATGCTGCGGGACTCCTAACATGGATGACTCTCATTACGGTATTGGTAGCATATTGACGCGGATGACCGTTTCACCCGTGTCTTGCTGGGTGAACGGTCATCTGCTTCCGCCGTGCGGTGGATAGCGGGGCTGGGCTTCCATCAAGGCATCCTTCTTACTATTCCTGTCGTCTGCTCACCGGCGCTTTGCTTGATCACCGCTTATTTCAAATGATGGGCTAACCTATCGTATGGTCGGGCTTTATACGAGATTTCTAGTGGCTAAATGGTTAGCGCGCAATGCCGAGGCTTCCCGTTACGCGGGTTCGAATCTTGAAGATACCAGATTCTTTTTCGAGCGTGTTCAATCAGGCTGCCGATTCTCGTTTCAGCTATACCTTTCCGGTACGAATCCGGATAATTCCAAAAATTGAAATATATTCACAGCTAGCACTAACTCTGGCTAGAGCTCATACTATGGCTACGAAGTTGCCAACTTCAAAGTTACATGAAGTTTGTACAACAACGTACTCGTCGAGTTCACGTCGGAGGAGGCGGCGAGATATGTGTTAACGTCGGAGGGGAGCGATGCCCTGGGGGACGCGCTGGACTACTTCTTAGTAGCCATTGGACGGGAGTATAAGGTGGTGGCGAGGATGGTGCCAATCGACTTCTCACCGGACGCGCCGGACGACCTGCGCGAGCTGGAAGCCATGAACAACCTACCGGACGGTAGCATCAAACGCGCCCAATACATCAAGCCCATCCAGTTCCGCGCCCCGAACCAGCGCTTCGCAAATGTCATGCTCTCCCTCACCGAACCCGAGATAGCGAACAAGTGCATCCTCGATGGCGTCCACGTCTGCGGGAAATGGTCCAAGGCATGGCGGCAAAAGCACGAGCCCATACGTTGTGCGAAGTGTCAGAAGTACAATCATGTGGCGAAAGTCTGCAGGCAGGGATGGGATACGTGTGGGGTGTGTGGGAAGGAGCACAAGACGAGGGAGTGTGACCGGAAAGGGGGGAGGTTCTGCGTCTCGTGCAACACGGACAGACACTGCAGCCGGGATCGGGATTGCCCATCGTTCCTACAACGTTGCGTCGAATACGACGAACGGCACCCCGAAAACTGCCGGGTCTACTTCCCCACCAACGAGTCATGGACGCTCAAGGGCATGGTTGCACCGGGCGCACCCTTCGAGACGTACCAAGCCCACCTTATGGACCGGCCGGCGAGCAGTATCACTACCCGCCCTCTGCCGCTCCTCTCTCAGCAGACGGTGATACCAGCGCGAAGTGCAGGGAGTCAGAGACGAAGGCGCGAGATGGCCAATGAGGAGTTGAGGCGAACGCTAGAGGAATCCGAACCGGGAGAAGGCCCAAATGAGTGAAGACGGGGCCACGAGGACGCCACCGCATAGGCTACGTATATACCAACAGAATATGAGAAAAATGCCCGACTGCCACCACTTCCTCCTTAACTCACCCGCATTGAACGACTTTGACTTAATCCTTCTACAGGAACCGTGTATCAACAACCTTGGCCTCACCCGTGCTTCATCACGCCACTACGTGGCGTACCCGCACCCCCATGCATCGGACCGGTCCAAACCCGCCCGGGCGGTTACCTTCATCAATAAGGCACTCGACACCAACTCATGGGAGAAGCTACCTTTCCCAAGCCTTGACGTCTCGGCGGTTTTGATGAAAGGCGACTTTGGACGCCTAACGATCTTTAATATATATAATGATTGCAATAACTCTGAGACGCTCCACCTCATCCGCTCGTTCATACATGACCATGCTGACTATATATTGCCAGACGACCGCTCGTATCTCCTGTGGGCAGGCGATTTCAACCGACACCATCCGGATTGGGACGACCTGACCAGCCACCACCTCTTCACCCCTGACAACACACGCGATGCGGAGATCCTCCTCACGCTTGCGTCGGACCACGACATGGAGATGGCCCTTCCGCCCAACATCCCCACCCTCCAACACATTAGCACGGGACGATGGTCGCGCCCGGATAATGTCTGGATCTCCTCTTCGCTACGAGACGCAGTGACACTGTGCAATACCGACCCGGCTAATCGTGGTTTCTCCGACCACCTCCCCATCTGCACCACCATCGACATACCCATTGACGTTTACGACCCACCACCCACCCGTAATGCTCGCTTAGCCGACTGGGACAAGATTCGCTCATACATCACGGAGCAGCTGGAGAAGGAGGAGATTCCGGAGGAGATCGGTACACAGGAGGAGCTCACTGCCATCGTCGACAAGATCACGCAAATCGTACAAGATGCGTGCAAGGCGCACATCCCGCTGGCGAAAGCGTGATCCCATGTCAAGAACTGGTGGTCCGCTGAGCTAAAGGCGATGAACGCGAAGATACGGAAGATCTGCCGCGAATCGCACAAGTGGCGAGGCATACGCGAACACCCTTCTCACGCGGCGCGCAAGGCCGCAGAACGCGAGTATCGCCGGGCAATTTATGTGGCGAAGAAGACCCATTGGGAGGAGTGGTTAGAGGATGTTGGTGAGGACGACATATGGACGGCAAACAAGTTTGCGAAGGCCGGGGCAACGGATGGAGGAGCGGCATCAATCCCAACGCTGAAACGCACGGTCACACCGGGCGTTGAGGAAGCGGCGGCGACTAATGCGGACAAGAGCGCTTTCCTCGCCGCATCATTCTTCCCGGCCCCCCCAGAGGATGCGGCGATCCCGGCCAACACCGTATACCCACAGCCCATCGCAGCCGACGCGTCAATCTCGGAGTCCACAGTCCTGAGGCATCTGGCTCGGCTCAGTCCGTACAAGGCACCCGGGCCGGACGGGATTCAGAACGTTGTACTGACCAAATGTGCGGACATTCTCGCGCCATGGCTGGTTGTCGTGTACAACGCTATATTGCGACACGGCTACTACTATGCGGGCTGGAAGGAGTTCCTGACAATCGTCTTGCGAAAGCCGGACAAGCCAGATTACGCTGTCTCAAAAGCGTACCGGCCCATTGCGCTTCTGTGCACGATGGCCAAGGTTCTGACGGCCATCGTTACGGAGCAGCTGACGTACCTTAGCGAACAGCACGGGCTCCTCCCATCGGCGCAGTACGGTGGAAGACCAGGCCGCACGACCACGGACTCGATGCACGTCCTCAATGACATCATCACGGCAGCGTGGGCGGAGGGAAAAGTAGCCTCTGTGCTATTCCTCGATATCGAGGGCGCATTCCCCAACGCGGTGCCCGAAGTCTTGATCCATGACCTTCGGATGTGTCGAGTCCCGGCTTATATTGTCAACTTCGTGCAGCTCCTGCTCGAGGGACGCAGCACTCAACTGAAGTTTGACGGATATGAGTCCGCAGCCTTTCCTGTGCTCAATGGCATCCCACAGGGCGATCCTATGTCCCTCATCCTATACCTTTTCTATGGTGCTGACCTTCTACGTGTACCCAGGGGTTCAAAGGAGAAGGTGGCAGGCTTTGTCGACGACTCCGCATTGGTCGCCATCGGCGACACATTCGACGAAACGCACGCAACGCTGCAGGACATGTTTGAGCGGCGAGGAGGTGCCCGGGAGTGGGCGACTAAGCATTTCTCTCGTTTTGAAACATCGAAGTTCAAGCTAATGGATTTTTCGAGATCGCCAATCCAACGCCCCGAGTTGAGGCTCGGCAATGTCACCATACGACCCACGCACACCCATCGCTTCCTCGGGGTCATATGGGACGACCAGCTCAAGTGGAAGGACCAAGCCGATGGTGCAGTGGCGAAAGGCCGCAAGTACGTGCTCGCGATCCGACGGCTCGCACGCATCAAGCACGGACTACGGCCGAAGTTCGTGCGTCGCCTCTATATCAGTGTAGCTATCCCGAAGATGCTGTATGCGGTGGATGTGTGGTGCCTGCCTATCCCGAGGGATATACCATGCGCCAGGCCGACCATGTCCGCGCGACAAGGCTCACTGGGGGTCATACGCCGACTCGCAACCGTACAACGCATAGCTGCACTGACAATAACAGGAGGACTCCGATCATCGCCCAACGACATACTGGACATACACGCCAACCTGCTCCCGATGCGGTTACTCGTAGCTAAGCACTGCTTCCGTGCTTTGACGAGAATCTCTGCGCTCCCCGAGACTCACCCGCTCTTTCCCATAGCTGAGTCCAGCGCAGCTGCGTTCCCAAGCAAGTTCCGCAGCCCGCTACAACACCTCTACCACCTCTTCCCGGAGGTGGCCCCCAGTCGCGTCGAGGACATCATCCCAATGCGCCACGACCCAGCGCATGCCGACCTCGCTTTCACCACATTCATCGCCGACTCACGCGAAGAATCCCAACATGATAATGATACCTTGGAAACGGTCATCCGGGTGTACACGGACGGGTCGGGGTATAAGGGCTTCGCGGGAGCGGCAGCGCTTCTGATCCGAACCGACGGCATCCACAACATGACGCGTATCCTGCGCTATTGTCTCGGTCCGCTAACGCAGCACACAGTGTACGAAGCGGAAGCGGTGGGGATCATTCTAGGCGCACATCTACTAGCGACTGAGGAGCGGGAGTTCGCATCGGAACCCAGCAGCATCAGTTTGGACAATCAAGCAGTCATCCGAGCATCGAAGCATCAGCAGCGCGCGCAACCCGGGCATGGCCTCCTTGACGTCTTTCGTGATCAAACTGACCGCCTCTTGCAGAACCGCGATGAGAACTACTCGCTGAGCGTGCGATGGGTATCCGGCCATGACGACGCCGAATTCAACGAGATCATCGACGAGCAGGCGAAGCTGGCCGCGGAGGGCCATGCAAGCGCACTCGTCGACCTCCCGTACGAACTGCGCACCTGCCTCAAGATAAGCATATCAGCGGCCCGCCAGGAATACGCACGCCGTCTGGACGAACGGTGGCACCAAGATTGGCTCATGTCTCCGAGGTACGAGCGACATCGCCATTGGGCGACTGACGCTGCCTCGCGGAAACACATGCGCGCCACCGCCAGCCTATCGCGCCTGGCGAGCTCAACGCTGTTCCAGATACGGTCGGGACATGCGCCGCTCAGCGCACACCTGTACCGTATTGGGTGTTTACCGAGTCCCACATGTGAGACATGTGGCGAGGCGGACGAAACCGTCCATCACTACCTCTACGACTGCCCGCGATGGCAAGACGCGCGGCAACGTATGCGAGAGGCAGCGGGCAAACTCTGGCGAGAGCGCACCCGCATGCTAAGTGATGAGAAAGGTATAGCAGCAGTTCTGACGTACACGAGGGAAACAGGATGGGGATCACGGGGTGAGAGAGAGAAGGGGGATGGAAGGCCGGAGACGGGATTAGGGGAGGCGCGAGAAGACGAGGAGAGGGACGTCGGACAGGAGGTGGAGGACGAACGACGCGTGGTGGACGAGGAGTAGGAGAGCGGAGAGCGGAGAGGCCGAAGAGAAGGAGGAGGGCACGTCGGGAGAGGGACGGAGAGGGGTACGACGGCACGACGAGACGGGGAACGAAAGGGAACGCATGCGACATGCGCGATTCGGTCGCGCCATTCGACTCAAGACCTCACAAGTTTTCGAAGCACCCGCAGGGAGGGTGTACAACATGCACACGGATAGACGGACATACGATACAGACAGTACACACTAGTTGGTTAAGTCTGCCCCAGGCCCTAGGTCTACACGGGACTATAATCTAAAGGTCGGCGGCTGCGCCGCGACCCTTTTGCACTCA